TAGGTCCTCTGCAAGAGCAGCCAGTGCTCTCAACTGCTGAGCTGCCATCTCTCTCCCCCTCCTTGGCTAGCAATTTGAATAAGAAGGCAACATATACGTGCACTGTCTTTCTGTGTTCCGTGGTGTTGGGAGGTGGAGCCCAGGACCTTGTGCTTTTGAGGAAAGCACACTACACAGAAGTACAACCAAGGCGAAGTTAAAGATCCCTTGGACCTAGTCTCTTCACCGTCGGGTCTTGCCTACTAATGGTGCATTCTTGATGTCGTTCCGTGTGCTGTGTGCTGTGTTGGGTCCTCAGGAATCTGTGTTTTTCGTGCTGTTTACACAATGGAGGCACGCTGTCTGTGCTGTCTGTCCAGCTGCCACGCTTACTCCGTAACACATCCCCCTTTATCCAACACACCCCTTATTCATTTATTTACTTTAATTTTTTTTGTTGTTTTTTGTTTTTCGAGACAGGGTTTTTCTGTGTAGTTATGGCTGTCCTGGAACTCACTCTGTAGACCAGGCTGGCCTCGAACTCAGAAATCCACCTGCCTCTGCCTCCCAAGTGCTGGGATTAAAGGCGTGTGCCACCACCGCCCGGCTACTTTAATTTTTAAAAGGATGTATTTATATGTTTTAGCATTTTCCTTGCATGCATGTCTGCACACCATGTGCATACCTGGTGCCTACAGAGGCCTGAAGAGTGTCTTGGATCCCCTGGGACTTGAGCTATTGACAGATGTGGGTGCTGGGAACTGAACCCAGGTCCTCTGCAAGAGCAGCAAGTGCTCTTAACCACTGAGTCCCTGTCTGAAGATGGATGGATGAACGAATGAATGAATGAATGAATGAATGAATGAATACTAGGGGTGAGGCTGTGGCTCAGTTGATAGATGTGCCATAGATATTTTTAATTGACAGATGATGCATCCATACACTACACAAACTACACAAGATCTTTCTAGATAGAGTGCTTGACTGTTGATCTATTTTTGAGACAGGGTCGCATGTAGACCAGGCTGGCATCAAACTTATGTAGCAGAGGATATTCTTGAACTCCTAATCCTCTTGTCTTCACCTTCTGAGTGCTAGATTACAGACATGCTTCATCAAACCTGGTTTATGCAGTGCTGGGAATGGAACCGAGAGTTTCCTATATGCCAGGAAAGCACTGTGCCAGCTGAGGAACATCCCCAGCCCCTAGCTATATTAATGTTTTAATTATATTTATTTATTCACTGTGTGTATATTTGGTTTTGTGTGTGCGTGTGTGTGTGTGCGCGTGCACGTGCACAAGCCTGAGTGTGCCATAGTATGCCCGTGAAGGTCAGAGGACAACTTGTGACAGTCAGTTGTTTTTTTGTTTTTGTTTTTTTGGGGGGAGGGGTTTAAGACGGGGTCTCTCTCTATAGCTCTGGTTATTCTGGAGTTCTCACTCCATAGACCAGGTTGGCCTTGAACTCTCAGAAATCTACCTGCCTCTGTCTCCCAAGTGCTAGGATTTAAGGTGCGTGTCACTATTCCCAGCTCAGTTTTGTCTTTTCCACCAGGAACTAAAGTCATGTAATGGGACTTGTTGGTAGGTACCTTTACCTACTGGGCCATCTCTTTGGTTCCAGTTCATTAAAAAAAAAAAAAAATCTGTGCTGTGTTCTGCAATGGGAGTGTGCGTGGTTTATTTGACCACTCTTCCTTGCGGGGGTGGGGTGGGGTGAGGGGGCAGCTGTTGGCTGTGGCACTAAATCTTGTCTATGCCATGATGAACAGGAGTGTGGAACGCTGGCTAGGACGGGTACTGCCAGGTTGCCCTGGATGACAAGCCACCCTCTGTTCCTGGCATGTGCCGCAGATATATAAAGGGGACAGAGAGATTACAGAACAAGGTCTAGTGTGTGGGGGCGTGGCTACTGGGAAGAGAGAAGTGGGAGATGTTAGCGTCAGCACTGCGCATGCGTGTAGAGTCCGTACTTTCTCAGTGGCTCTGGGAGTTGAGAATCCTCTTTCCAGTTGTACACAAGGGACTCTTCCTCAAGTTCATGGAGCTAGTGTGGAGTGGGGCTGTGATTTGCAGCAGACCATCTCTCTTAAAGGTCCAGCTTTGTCTTCTGCCACCCTTTCAAGGCCAAGCAGAGAAGAAGGTCAGGGCCTCTCTGCGGCTGCGTTTTTTGTGGATTTGCGGATTTGCCCCTGGTAATAATACCATCAGATTTCACCTCAAAACTCTGTTCCAATGTGCTTTGTCCTTCAACTCCCATTCCAGAGCGAGACGCTGAGTCCTGCGGGAGCGCAGCTCAGAGCTCGGGTTCCAGTACTGTGGACAAGCCTCTGCTCTAAAAGCCCCAGTTGGCAGGGCCCTAGACGGAGGAGGGCTCCCGTGTGAGCCTGGCTTTGAAGCTTCCTGGCTCTAACAGACCCAGGCTTTGCCTCCTCCATTCCGTCTCCATCTGTGGAGGACTGCTTGGGAGTCTGGTTCCCTTCCTACCCCTGCCTGATCTTTGCATCTCTCCACACACACACACATCCCGCCTCTGGCTGCCTGCAGAACCCAGCTAGGCTTGTTGAAATGTACCTGTCATGCTAGCACCAGTGAGACTGTGGCAGGAGTATTTCCAGTCTGAGGCTAGCCTGGAATGTATGTTGCAAAAGAAAAGAAGAACAAAGTTGGGCAAACCCTTGGGTCCAAAACCTAAGTATGTGGATAAGGCAAGACCGTGCATACAACCATGGCTCAGTTGGTAGTGTGCCTGCCCAGCATGTGAGAAGACCTAGGTTCGATGCACAGCACTATATAAACTGGGTGTGGTAGAACATGCTTGTAATCCCAACATTCAGGAGATAGATCTTGGAAAATTAGGAGTTTGAATTCATTTCCTTGGCTCAAACCCAGAGTGTCAGGCTTGGTGGCAGTCACCTTTACTTGAAGGCCACGTGTTTGTTTTGTTTTGTTTTGTTTTCCTTTTTTATGTGTGAAAAGAAACTTTTGTGAATAGCCTTTCCTACGGAGAGGTTCCTTGTATTTTCAGAGGGGTCACAGAGTTTAAGGTGAAATGGGCTCATTCCGTGCTTCACGATGATCTGGGACAGTCGGTTGCAGGTGGCAGCATCAAGCTCAGAGTTCTCCATGGGCTTGTCCCTTCTTGGTGGCTTCTGGGGAAGTGGCATCTCTGCTCCCCCTGGCTTCCACCAGTGTCCAGTAGAATGGAGTAGGGGTCAGTCTGGACTGGAAAGGAGCTGAGGAGTGCTCTGGTCACCAGCCATGTCCGCCTCATCCACACAAGGCTTCCTCACAAACATTTGCTTCTTGCACAGATTAAAAAGAAACGTTTCTGCTTTGTGGGGCATGATGGGAAAACCGTAATTCCAAACTGTGCAGAGACTCTGTGGGCTGCACAGATAAGCCGCCGTGGGTGGTCTTCTGCAAGTGTAACCAGTTCTTGAATTGCTGAGGTCTTGGAAGGTGATGGGGCTTATTGTGCCGTGTGCCTGTCTGTGGAGAATGTCACCTACCTATCACCTATCTATCTCATATCTATCTACCTATCATCTATCTATCTGTCTATCTTTATATCTATGTATTTATGTATGTATGTATGTATGTATGTATCTATCTATCTATCTATCTATCTATCATCCGTCAGCCTGCCTATCTGTGTATGTATGCACGCATGCATGTATGTGTATATATGTATGTATGTATGTATGTATGTATGTATCTATCTATCTATCTATCATCTATCTATCTATCTATCTTTTATCTATTTATCGTCTGTCGTCTGCCTGCCTACTTGTCTATCTACCTACCTATCGTCTATCTAGCTACCTAGCTACACCTATCTTTTCCCCTTATTATTGTTGTTTGTTTCTCTGAGACAGGTTTTCTCTGTGTAGCTTTGGCTGTCCTGGACCTCACTCTGTAGATCAGGCTGGCCTCGAACTTAAAGAGATCTGCCTGCCTCTGCCTCAGGAATGTTGGGATTAAAGGCGTGCGCCACCATCACCCAGCTTCCACCTATCTGTTTTTGAGACTGAGTCTCTGACAGCTTAGGCCGGTCTCAAGTCATTTTGTAGCTGAGAGTAGCCTTAAACTTCTGAGCGTGCTTGGATTCCAGGCACATCCCCCTATACATAGTTTGTGAGGTAGGAGAAATGGAACCCAGGGCTGCGTGCTAGGCAAGTCCTCTATTAGCTGAGCCACAGCTGACTCTTCATGTACTAAGCACTGTTGTTAGAGGAGGGTATCTTTTTTTTTTTTTTTTTTTTTTGGTTTTTCGAGACAGGGTTTCTCTGTGTAGCCCTGGCTGTCCTGGAACTCACTCTGTAGACCAGGCTGGCCTCGAACTCAGAAGTCCACTTGCCTCTGCCTCCCAAGTGCTGGGATTAAAGGTGTGCGCCACCACCGCCCAGCCTAGAGGAGGGTCTCTTGAAGCTGTTCTCCTCTGTATCTGAACTACCTCAAACTTGTGAAACATTACACAGACAAGGTGTAGTGTGGGACCAGGATCAGGGCTCCACAGAAGTCCCCGCTGGAGCTTCAGCTTCAGAGTCATTGCACAGGGATCCTTTTTTTTAATGTAATTTTTTAAAGATTTATTTATTATATTTATATGAGTATACTGTAGCTATTTTTAGACACACCAGAAGAGGGCATCAGATCCGATTACAGATGGTTGTGAGCCACCATGTGGTTGCTGGGAATTGAACTCAGGACCTCTGGAAGAGCAGTCTGTGCTCTTAACCGCTGAGCCATCTCTCCAGCCCTTGCACAGGGATCTTTCGTCAGTGCCCGTGTTCAGCCTGGGGCTGTGCTGTTCTTAGCACTGATGTCAGGCTTGGCCTGTAGCCAGTTCAGTATGGAATTGGAGTTAGGCCTACTGCCTGAGCCGGGGATCAGTCAAGGATCAGTCAAGAATCAGGGCTCAGTAAACTGCTGGTATGCTAGGACTCGGTCTAGTATTAGGGTAGAGGTTCAGTCTGTGACTAAGATCAGCCAACTTACGTGGCTTTCCTTTCCACAGGTGCCCAGGACACCACGCCCAGGGATGGAGTCCGCTGACAGTAGGCGTTTGGCCACCAAGCATAGCAGGAAGGCTTTGAAGGCTAGCCTGACCCTGGGCATCCTGCTGGGCATGTTCTTTGTCACCTGGCTGCCCTTCTTTGTGGCCAACATAGCTCAGGTAAAACAATGACAGTGAAGGTGGAGTGAGTCTAGGCCTGGCCCGAGAGACGCCATGCCTCACTGGGCAAAGGTGGAAGGGAGGAAGATGGCTCATCTGTGGTGCCTGTGTCTGTGTGTCTGTCCTATCCCTGCTGGGTGGGGTAGCCTGGGTCCCCACCTGGGACAAGGTGTGATGAGTCTAATTTCCACAGGCTGTGTGTGACTGCATCTCCCCAGGCCTCTTCGACGTTCTCACGTGGCTGGGGTACTGTAATAGCACCATGAATCCTATCATCTACCCACTCTTCATGCGGGACTTCAAGAGGGCCCTGGGCAGGTTCCTGCCATGCATCCACTGTCCCCCGGAGCACCGGGCCAGCCCTGCCTCCCCTTCCATGTGGACTTCTCACAGCGGTGCCAGACCAGGTCTCAGCCTGCAGCAGGTGCTGCCTCTGCCTCTGCCGCCAAACTCAGATTCAGACTCAGCTTCAGGGGGCACCTCAGGCCTGCAGCTCACAGCCCAGCTTCTGCTACCCGGAGAGGCAACCCGGGACCCCCCGCCACCCACCAGGGCCACCACTGTGGTCAACTTCTTTGTCACAGACTCTGCGGAGCCTGAGATACAGCAGCATCCACTCAGTTCCCCCATGAACTGACCAGGTCAACAGCTGGCCAGCAGAGAGGGCCACATTCCCAGAGGTCTCAGCCCACTCTCCCTAAGACTGGGAGATGGTAGGTCTCCTGAGACTGTGCTGAGTGTCATGAGGTATCCGCAGCTAGCCCCCATCTTCTGCTGCAGCCTCCTAGACACGAGGGGTGATCAGAAACACCTCTGTAGGGCACTCCGGTGTGATGTTGCTTGCGGCTTGTGTAGTGTGTCTGGGGGTCTCGGAGCTGGGCCATTTGGTTCAGGGCAGTAGAAAAGCAATTCATCCTCAACCCTTTCTCTCATGGTGGGTGGGAAGAATGTATCCATCTAGACACCTCAGTTCCTGACTGGCCCAATCCTGTTATCCAAAGTGCCATCTGTGGGCTATTGGGGTTCTCATATTTAAAGTGCCACCCCTCTGCAGGTGGGGTGAATCAACCTTGTACATTCACGAGCTTTCCCAAGTACACATTTGCTGAACTTTCCGACCTGGCAGCCCCTAGGATAGGAATAGCAACACTAAAGAACACCTTATGCTGGAGGCCGGACAGCCAGAAATATGACCCTTTCCTCAGCTGTATACCGAATTTCTGGGGCTTGGCATGCGTCTCAAGGGAGAATAGGAGTGATATCACCTTGTAAGACAATGTGAATGATGTGTCCAGCACCTGTGAGGGGTCAGTGGGTGGTAAATTCTGTTGCTTTAACCCCTGGTCAGCCAGGTTCTAGCTCTGGTAGAAAGCTAGCAAGTGTCCCTCCTTCCTTCCCCCAGTCTTCTCGTCTTCCCTCCCTCCTTCCCTCCTTCCCTCCTTCCCTCCCTCCCTCCCTCCCTCCCTCCCTTCCTCCCTCCCATCTTTCCCCTCTTTCTCTTGTTTTGATTTGTTCTAGGCTCACAAGTAACTCATACTTCCCCATGTGGCCAAGGACCACCCTGAACTTGTAACCCTCTTGCCTCTACCTCCCCAGTCCTGGGATCACGGGAATGCGCCACACACCAGGTTACGTGGTGCTAGGGGTGGAACTCAGGGCCTCATGCATTCTGGGAAAGCACTCTGCCAATGGAGCTGTGTGACCAGGGCCTCCTGGTTTCTGTTAGGTCAGCCTCACACATACTAGGCAAGTGCTCTCTACTGGGCCACATCTCAGTCCCACTGTCTGTTCCAGCCCAGATTGGGCTCCCAGCCTCCTTGCTTTCTTGGGTGGAGACCGTACCACTCAGGGACTCTTTCCAGTCCCATCCTGTCCTTCTGCCTCTAGAGGTGGCCCAGGGGATGGTGACAGATTTTGTGCAACCTTAAGTGTGGGTTTCCTCCACTCCGTCTTCCCCGAGAGGAAGCAGCTGATGGAGGCAGAACAGCCCCTCATTCTGCCTTCCCCCTTTGGTCCTCCCTAGGGTCACTGAAAGAAAGGATGGCTGCTTGGGTGGGCAGGGTACAGCTGAAGAGGGATGTATGCCCCTGGCTTGGGGGTGAAGCCACAGACAGGTGGGTGGGCTCTGGTCCAGCATGGGGCTTGCATTTGTGGGTAAGGGCGGGACTCTTGGCTCCATGTGTCTCCATACTGAAATTTTTTTTTTTTTTTTTTTGGTTTGGTTTTTCGAGACAGGGTTTCTCTGCATAGTCCTGGCTGTCCTGGAACTCACTCTGTAGACCAGGCTGGCCTCAAACTCAGAAATCCGCCTGCCTCCTAAGTGCTGGGATTAAAGGTGTGCACCACCGCCGCCCGGCTAAAGATTTATTTATTTTATGTATATGAATACACTGTAGCTATCTTCAGACACACCAGAAGAGGGCATCAGATCCCATTACAGATGGTTGTGGGCCCCCATGTGGTTGCTGGGAATTGAACTCAGGACCTCTGGAAGAGCAGTCAGTGCTCTTAACCACTGAGCCATCTCTCCAGCCCTTCCACACTGAATTCTTCTTCAGCGTCAGGTCTTTCTTTGAGTCCCCTGTTCTGTCAACCCAGGCTCCCCGGCTCTCTGTGTGGCCAGGAGCTCTCCTTGGTGCTGACCATGCTCAACTGGGCCCTGGTAGCAGGGCTCTGGTGCTTCCGGCTTTCTCCGCCACTAGGCCTGCCTGAGGGACTCAATAAACACAAGCTGAAGGAAGTGGATGTGTGGACTGTCTCCTATTGAAGCCACGGGTGCTTGGAAAACAGCTGGGTAAAGGTCTCCCACCGCAAGTGTCCTGGGCTCTGACTCTGTGCCTAGCATGCTCTGTGACACCCCCATTCCCCCCACAATGAATCCCTGTCACTTTTCCATGGGGACACAGTAGTTTATACTAAAGGCAGCATGAAGTGTCATAGATGTTTGTAAAGTGGATAAGTGACACAGAGTGCAAGGGCATCAAGTTTCTGAATACTGTGACACCCACAGCCTTCTCTGGGTCTTATTTCTGCACATGCACAATGGGGGCAGGCTACTTCTGTCCCTGCCACCTAGAGGAGGTGGGAGGAACAGAGAGGATGCGGCCTTAGAGCTTAGGTGAGAAGTCCAGAGGCTGGACTTATAGTGATTCCATCTCTGATCCTGTGTGGCCTTCAATGGGCTTCCTAATTACACAGAGGCCCTGTTTCCCCAGCATAAAATGAAGTTATGAAGGTCAAGAGAAGAACCCAAGGGTGTGATAAACAGTGTTTATTGGTCCCTCCTCATGTAATCCACGCTTACCAAGGCCCAGTTCTCCAGATACTGACTGTGAATTCTGCCTTTATTCCTCTTATAACAATTCTATCCAGGGTCACATGTTTCACAAACTCAGCATGGGCCGACACATATATCACATCTATGTCTGTTACTCCTGACATTGTACAAGGCACCCAGCCCACATAAATGCCTGGACAGAGCTGCTCCTTCCAAGGACAGAGGGAGCAAAGTGTCTCGTTGGCACCTGAAAACGCCCCGCTCTTGGAACCTGGGATCAGTGGGCAGTGCTGCAAGATCTGGAAGACACTTGGGTCCACTGAGGTTGGAGAAAGGGGAGCATGGGGACCTCCAGTCCCACAGAGACTTTAGGGGCCTCTGGATGGGACCTGCAGGGTGGGAGCCTACACTGGTTTGGAGCTGGGTTGACCTGGGAGGTCATACTGCCCGTGTTTCCTCAGAGAGCCAGTACTTTCACCCTCCCTCTCCATTCCAGTTCCTCTCTGTTTAAGAAAGGCACTTGTGGAGACTCCCCACCTCCAGAGCTCTCTGGAAAGCCTGCAGGGCTCAGAGAAAGTTGCATAGAAGTTGCATAGAGAAGTCTGGAGAGGTAGTCCAGACACCTGCTGGGTCAGTCCAGTTCTGCACAGGCCTCCTGGGTCCCATGGGTGCAGTCAGGGCAGCCCAGTGGATTGGGACCCACACCATGGCTGCAGATCAGGTGTCCCTCTGTCGGAGCAGCAGTAAGGAGTGAGTCCTCTGTAGATTGGTCCAGCCCTGCTGGCACCTGGGCTTGGCTGGCACTGGAAGGTATGCTGGTTTTGAGATCATCTCCTGGGGCAGGTCTCTGGCTTTGTCCATCCTGGTGGATTGTCTCATCTGTGGAGACTGTGGTTGTCTGGAGTGGCTCTTCTTGGGGCAGGCTGCCAGGGGCCAGTGGCAGTCCCTTCTCACCCCAGCCGGGCTTGGTGCGGATGCCCACAGTCTTCAGGATGACATCCATTTGCTTGGCATAGTCCAAGTGGCCATTGACCTGCAGGAGATGGTGAATGAGGACCATGTGGGTAGGTAGGCAGGCGGATAGATGGGCAGGGCCCACCTGTTCTCTGGGATCCAAGCTAAGCTCCACCCCAGCTAAGCTCCACCCTCAGCCAGTCACTCAGCATCCAGGATCCCAATTATTATTGCTTCTCAAGTCTAGAGTGCACTGTAGGGGGGACTCGGCAGGGGGGGGAGGGACTCGGGGGAGGGGGGACTCGGCAGAGGGCAGCTGTAGGATCCAAGGCAGGGAAAGTTAAAGAAAGCTTCTCCAAATGTGGGGTTCCCTGGAGCACAAAGGCCCATCCTGATGATCAGCAGGCAGGGGAGGGGTTCAGTGTTTCCTCTTCAGTAGCCATGGGATCTGGGGGGGTGTGTTTCTGTCCCCAACATTAGGAATGGCTCGCCCAGATGGTGGCTGAGAGGGTTTCCCCAGGAAAAACCCAAAGTCAGGAATAAAGCTTTGTCACAGCCCATACGGTTCTGTTTCTTTTTTTTTTTTTCTTTTCTTTTTTTTTTTTTTGGTTTTTCGAGACGGTTTCTCTGTGTAGCCCTGGCTGTCCTGGAACTCACTCTGTAGACCAGGCTAGCCTCGAACTCTCGAACTCTCGAACTCAGAAATTCACCTGCCTCTGCCTCCCAAGAGCTGGGATTAAAGGCGTGGGCCACCACCACCCGGCTTCCTGATGCTTCTTGAGTTCTTGTGTAAGACGTCTTTTCTCTGTGTGCATGTGTGTGTGTGCATGTGTGCGTGTGCGTGTGTGTGTGTGTGTGTATCAAAGATCAGGTATCTTCCTCAATCAATCACTCTCCACTGTATCTTCCTTCCTTCCTTCTTCCTCCTTCTCTTCTTCCTCTTCCTTCTCTTCCTCCTTTTGTCCTGTGTATAGTGTTGTATATACTGTATACTGAACGTACACCTGCACCCCAGAAGAGGGCATCAGATCCCATCACAGATGGTCGTGAGCTACCATGTGGTTGCTGGGAATTGAACTCAGGACCTCTGGAAGAGCAGCTGGTGCTCTTAACCGCTGAGCCGTCTCTCAGGCCCTCCACCTTAGTTTTCGAGGCAGGGTCTCTCGCTGATCCTGGAGCAGATCTATTTGGCTAGACTGGCTAGTCAGCAAACTCCAGGGATCCTCCTGCCTCTGCAGCCCGGTACTGTCACCTGCAGTCCCTGGCTCAGAATGTTTTCCACCTGGGCTCTGGGGACCTGAACTCAGATTCTTATGTTTTTGTGGGAAGCACTTTGCTGACGGAGTCAAGACGTCCCCTCTCATCCCCTTGAAACGCATCGTCTCTCAAGGGGATCGGAGAGGTACACAGACATCACAGCACACTGTGACTGCCGCTTAGTAGGTGCTGTATATGGGTTCTCTTACTTGAGTTTGCCTCAAAGGGGAGATGAAGGTGGAGAGTTAGCTGGGCTGATCCATTCGGGAGCCCAAGATGGCTGCTTAAACCCAGTTATTGCATCTGAATCCCAGCCAACAGAAATGTCAGATTCACAGGGACAAACGCTAACCAGTTCTCTATGGACAAATAAGAGCTGCTTCCCTGAGTGTTATGGATCCTGGGGAAGGACTGTGTGGGAAAAGGCAGGCAGGAAGGATGGGGTCAGCGTCATTATGGCAGCCGACCCCAGGTGGTCCTCATACCTACAGCATACAGCTCTGGCTTCCTCTGCCTCAGGCTGGTCAGGTCTTGGCCATACACAGTCCGCCAGCTGCTGTTCTACAAAGACCCACAGTGGAGTCTGTGTTGCTGGTACTCCATCTTTACAGTCAGCAGTGGGGAGGGCTCACAGGGGTAAGCATCCTGGGACATGGGTGGATGCAACACAGTTGATACTGAAGTTTTCAGCCCATGGCCATCTCCCAAGCTGTCCCACTGAGCTTTGCCCACTGCTGGGTACAGTCAGACATCACTAATGTAAAGCGGCTATCTCTCATGACTGATGCTGGGTAAAGCCCCAGGATGCACCAGGCAGCTCCCAGCACAGACTGGCAAACCAGCCAAGGCCCACTAGACTGTGGCCAAGAGACTGTGAACTGCAGTCACTAGTCCATGTGGGCAGGAATGGGTCCTGACAGTTTCCCTTCCTGCCTCGTAAGAGACCTGGCCTGGCTGCCACCTCCCCACCTGTCTGTGATGAAGACTCTTCCCGTGCCCACTAGGCCCTGGGTTCCCCAGTGCCAGATCTTTCTGTAAGATGAAACTGGCAATGACCCCAGCATCCTGTGGGCTGGCACGGGCAGGCAGCCACGTGGATACAGGCGTGCTTGGCAGGACTGCAAATTGCTGACCAGGCTCTGGAGGTTTAGGAACACAGACAAATTCATGGCTGAGGGCCCAGGCTCTGAGGTAGTTCCCTGGGTTTCTGGCTTGAACCTACACTGTCACCTCAGGCTCAGGTTCTTTTTTTTTTTTTTTTTTTTTTTAAAGACTTATTTATTTTATTTATATGAGTACACTATAGCTGTATTCAAATACAGCAGAAGAGGGCATCAGATCTCATTATAGATGGTTGTGAGCCACCATGTGGGTGCTGGGAATTGAACTCAGGACCTCTGGAAGAGGGGTCAGTACTCTTAACCACTGAGCCATCTCTCCAGCCCAGGCTCAGGTTCTTGACCATTCATTCTCCAGCTGGTGGTGGTGTGAGGTTGCAGAAGCTGAGGTAGGGCCCTGTGGGTGTAGGTCACTAGAAGTGGGCTTTCAGTGTGACACCCAGCCCCTGGCTCCTCCCCCACCCTTTGATTCAATCTATCCCTCTGTGAACTGCTTCCATTTGGGCCTTTCCCGCCCTGGCAGACTGAAACCCGTGAGGGCAGATAGATCCTCACTTAAGGTACGCCAGCCTCTGTTTCCACATCTGGAGAGTGGATCAGTATGTCTTCCTGGGACTTCCGTAGGGTCACCTGACACAGGGCAGCTGTTGTCACTGCTGGTGCTGTTACTGACTATGTACTGTAGTCGCTGTTGCAAAGGGAGCTACCAGGCAAGTCCTACAGAGGGAGACCTGCCAGCCCCTCTTCCAGCAAGCTGCCAAGAAAAGGCAGGGACACAAAGGCAATGCTAATTACCTCTAATTAGTCAGAGGAGGGAGGCACCGCTTTGCTGAGGCCTCTGACATGATAAAGACCTATTATTAGGCAGAGCTATGAAGCTAAGCTAAAGCCTAGGTGTTTGAGGAGGGAGAGGTCTGGGAGCAGCTAGTCTCCAGGGTGGAGAAGTGAGGGTGGGGGGCTGACTGAAGGGGAGGGGACTAATATTGGGGAGCACTCGTAAGCCCAGAGCCCTGGGCCTTGCATCTTCAGTAAACATTGCATATAACGGACGGGTGCTGGATTATGTTCTTGCTTGGCTGGCACCAGGGTCTACTGCTTTGAGTGTAGCCCATGTTCTGCACCTGAGTCCTCTGCTTACTTTGGTTACGTCCGGGGGGAAGGAAGTGCAGTGCGGTGGTGGTGGTGGGGCAGCTATGACTGGTCACCTGGGGTGAAGGTGTTGAGGGGGGTTGGTAATTTGAGGACCTTTGGGGGTTTGGATCCAGCCCTGCGAATTGCTTGTTAGGAAGACAGGAAGTTTTCTGAGCCTTGATTTCCTCATCTGTAAATGGGGCAGAACAGTTCCTGCCTGGAGGTAGCTTGGGAATTACAGCCGCTGGGGAAAGGCTGGGATGGAGCTCAGCTCGCAAGAGGCAGGTACGTGCAGGTACTATCTCCAAGTGCCGGAGAGACCTGGTGTCCCTCATACACAGGCCAATGGGACAGATCAGTACTCACCACTGAGGACAGGTCCACGTTCTCCATCCTCCGGTCCTGCAGCAGCACAGGCTGCAGGCCTGCGACGCGGAGCTGCACAGAAGACGTTCGGTACACGAAGCTCAGGAGCCAGTCTCCCCTGCAGGCAGAAATAGGGGCCGTCAGCCTGATCCCGGGCAGGTTGGGCCTCTGACCCCCAGCAACTGGCCAACTGGGCAGAGTTACTACATAGACTGGGTTAGCCTCAAACTCACAATCCTTCCACTTCAGCCTCCAAGTGCTAGGATGGGGTGTAGGCACCAGGTCTGCTAGATGCTCTGAGGGGCTCTGACCTCCTCCTTCCTCCCTGGAGATGAATCCCTTTACATGGGACTCTTACCATTTGCTTTTTCCCTGTAGGCTCCTCCATCACCGGCTCTTTACCAACTGTCCCTCCCTCTGCCTTTAGCTGTCACCCAGAGCCTCTGGCCTCTGAGCCCTGCAGGGCACTTACCTAGCATGCACAAACACTGCTTTTGACCCTTAGCCCTGTATAAGTTGGAATCGGAGGGTGCCTGCCTGACTGTGCATCCAATGCCTGGGAGGCAGAAGCCGAGGATCTTTGGCTACATAGAGAGTTCAAAGCCAGCCTGAGCTATAGCAGAGCCTGCCTCAACAAAATACAGGTCCACCAGTCATCCCTCTAGCCTCCCCCTTGATTCTGAGCTTGGAGTGCCACCTCCAGGTCACTTGGTGACCATCCTATGTGTTTGCTGCAGGTGACCTGTGGCAGTTGAGAACTCATGAGGTTTGAGGTTTTTACAGCTAACCAGTCTGTGGGCTCCCTGATACAGGATTGTCTTACAAGGCTTGGGGTCGGGGTTGCTTTTTGGAGTTTGGGGATTTAACTCAGAATGAAACTCTGAGGGCCTCTCAAAAGACTCCCCGACAAACAGGGCTGCTCTCCCACTCCCTCCCCAACCCCCAGGTCCCACCACCTGCCAGGAGGCCTGTTGCCCAGGGTGCTGACTCTCTGTACTGCCAGCTTCTTCTACCTTCCTGTCCCTGCTCAGAAATCATGGTGCAAAAATGGAGCCCAGATGCCCGCACCGCCAATGGCGCACACGGGTATGCCTTAGCCCCAAAGGGCTCTCATGTAGACCCTTTTGTTTTTCGGTCTCAGGTGCTACCCCATGCTTCCTCCTTCAGAGTCATCTTGCAAGTGATGACATAGGGTGCCACAAGACCCTCCCTTGCCATCCTGCAGGGTGGGACGCCTCTCAGATCTGAACCTCTGGCCCTAGCCACAGCGCTGACATGCCCATGACCAGATTCTGGTACCTTTCTGCATAGAGACTTCTTGTCTCCAGAAAGGGTGGGGAAGGACACACCCAGAGCTCAGGAAATGTTGTTACCTCCCCCATGACACGAGGTTCAGACAGACCTGCAGTAGCCATTGACGATTCTCCCAGACACCACATTCCGGAACGGTTCCCAGTGCTTGGGGTCGCCTTCTACTGGTGCGCCCAGAAGGACCACATCCTCAATGATTCCTTGGCAATCTGGTGAGAGAACCCAGAAGAGTCTGTCAGTGTACCTGCACACAGTGGTCCTGATGGGAAGGGGTAGGATGATGTGGGATGGATTGAGATGGGAAACAGAAAGGGGTAGCATACATCTATGTACATGTGTGTGCGCGTGAGTGTGTGTGTGTGCACGGGTATGCTGACATGTAGAGGATTCTAGGCCCTAAGTTGACCTTCAAATGTCTGATCTATTCCTGCAAAGTGTCACTGTGACAGTTAAGGTAAACAGCACACAGCCACATAGTCAGCACGTGGCACAGCCCCAGTAGGAAACAAGGTGTTTTTTCACACCTCCTTGTGGCCAGCAGGGACAATAGCAGGGATTCTGAGCAACTGTTAGATCCAGAGAGAGACCCAGGGAGAGAAGCCTAAGAGCTTCTGCTATGATTCTGAACTGAGACTAGCCAGCGAGCTTCCCATGTAGTGACACTAGCCAGCAAGCCTCTCGTGTAGTCTAGAATGAACGTAAACCAGGCTGGGTTGGACATGAATTCTGCTGTGGCTGGAGCCCAGCCGGGAGCTGTCTCACCAGGCCTATCTACTCTCAGACGAGCTTCATTCAAAAGGTATACTCACTGCATGGGATTTGCAAAAGATCTGCTCACTGTGTGGGATTTGCAAATAGTTTGCTCTCTGTAGTGTGTGCAAGGGCCTAAGTTCCTGTCCCTACATTGAAAAAAAGTCCTTATTAGGTTATACCTCCAGTGTCCAGCAGCCCCCAGGATGCCACCATTCAAGACTGACAAAAGATGCCAGAGGGCCAATGAGACAGCTCAGTGGGTAAAGATGCACAAGTTGATCCCAGGAACCCACATGGTAGAAGGAGAGACGAACTCAAGTTGTCTTCTGACCTCTACATGGGAAGCAAGACATGTGTACACTCACAGACACACACAGACACACACACACATGCATGTACACACGCATGCAAATGCATAGACACATATATACATACACTTATACATAAACACACCATACAAACACACATGTAAATATATATACACATATATACACACATATACATACACATACAACAGATACACACACACATACATACACACACACATATACACACACATACTCCAGATACACACACACATATACACACACATTAAATAAGTATAAAATTATAAATATGCCAGAGATGAACATTTAATGGCCCTGGCATCCTTTTGCGGTGGGAACAGTATCTACCAAAAGTCACTTTCTGATCCCAGCCTTCCCTCCTGTGAAAGTTTGAGGCGTTAAATACAGAGCCCCAGGGCTGAGGATGCAGCTCAATAGAGGAACACTTGCCTGGCATGTGCCTTCCATCCCCGCCCCCACAAGCTTATAAATATTCATATTCTTATGTAAAGGGGGTGAGATTATCTTTGAGTTCAGAAGTCACAGACACAGGCAGCTTTTGTGTCTCTCCGTTTTGAAACAGCGCCTTAGATTTTATTTATACTCTGCTTGTACTATGGGAGTGGGTGGTCCTCCATCCTGCTATACCTTTGGCAGTAAGGAGGCGGTGTGCCTTTGGTTGAAAAGGAAAGCTTGTCAGTCAAGCCCTCGCCCTCCCTCCGCTCCAGGACTTCCTGTCACTGTTTCTAAGTCCAGGAGCGAACCCTTTGGATTGGAAGTCGAGGCCGGGGATGTGCCTCAGTTGGGAAAGTGCTTGTCTAGTGCACGAAGCCCTGGGTTTCATCCACACAAGAGTTGGGTGTGGTAGTAGATGTCTGTAATCCCAGCATCTGAGAGTTAGAGGCAAGAAGATCAGAAGTTCAAGGCTGTGGTGGTTTGAATGAGAAAAGCACTCACAGGTGCATGTACTGGAATATTTGGTTCCCAACTGGTGGACTGTTTAGGGAGGGTTAGGAGGTGTGGCTTTGTTGGAGGAGGCGTGTCACTGGGGTGGGTACCTCTCTGCCTTCTGCCTGTAGATCAGGATGTACTTGACAGCTACTTCTTCAGTACCACACCTGCCTGCTGCCAGGCTCCCCACCATGTTGATCATGGACTAATCCTCTGAAACTGCAAGCAAGCCCCCAGTTACAGGCTATCTTTAATAAGTTGTCTTGGTCATGGTATCTCCTTATATCAATGAACAGTATCTAAGACAAAGGTCACTGTTGCCTGTATTGCTAGTTCTAGGCCAGCCTGAGATACATGTATCCTAGGATCTCACGTATCCTAGGTTGGCTTAGGACTAGCTGAGGATAGCCTTAAATTTGTGACCTTCCTACTTTTATTTCTCCACTGCTGGGATTAGAGGCGTGGGTCACCATTCCAAGTTTATGAGCACTGGAGACAAAACTTAGGGCTTCATGCACGCTAGACAAGCAGTCTATCAACTGAGTCATATCTCCAGTCCTTTATTGCTTTCAAGTGTCCAGGTCAGAAAGGTGGAAAGATGCCTCAGTGGTTAAGAGGGCTTTCTGGCCTTGCCAAGGACCCTGGTTCAGGTCCCAGCATCCATGCTGGGCAATTCACAACCACCTAAATCCTCAGGGATCTGATACCCTCTTCTGGCTTGCATAAGAGACTGTACTCACACCCCTACATAAAATGAAAAATAAAAATAACTCTTAAAAAATAAAATGTTTGTTCCATAGCCTCAAGAATATCCATGTTGTGCAGAGTGTTTTCTTTACTTTTGATGACATTTTGCTATCAGCTTTACTCCTGTCTGCCGTCCTTCTGGTGTTTCTGGAGGCTCACCCTGGACTCTTTCAATGTCAGCTTTACTCCTATCCGCCGTCCTTCTGGTGTTTCTGGAGGCTCACCCTGGACTCTTTCGATGTCAGCTTTACTCCTATCTGCCGTCCTTCTGGTGTTTCTGGAGGCTCACCCTGAACTCTTTCGATGTCAGCTTTACTCCTATCTGCCGTCCTTCTGGTGTTTCTGGAGGCTCACCCTGGACTCTTTCAATGACATTTTCAGAACCTGGCACTCTCAGAAGTCTAGAGATGGCTTCAGTTTTCCCAAAACCCTTCCAGGACCCAGACAGGGCATCATCCTCTTCTTAGTAACAGCCTTGAAAACTGTGTATGGGTAAACTCTAAAGCTGAAATTTAAAAACCATGTCCCAGGGGCCCAGCTTTGCCCATGGAAACCAGTATTGCTGACCTGATCTCTGCTGGTCTCTCAATATCAGGCCTTGTTAAAGGGAAGCCAGCATGCACAGAGCTTCTGATGTCTCCTCAAACAGCCAGAGAGGCACAAAGCACATTCCTACATGCCTGTCACGTTGTCAGTAATGAGACTCTCCCAGCTGTACCTGCAAAGTGGCTGGATCCTCTCCATCCCATCAGGGGCTCTTGTGTGCGGAGAGTGATAAGGTGAGAACGGGAGGGGGGAGGGGAGAGCATCTGCCAGCCACAGATCTGCAAGAAAGGCCTTGAAGGAGATGCTATGAGCCGTGTCTAACACAAACCAAGTCCACTGAAAAGATACTCAGCTATGCACTCCGCAAAGGAAGCGGGAAAACTATAAAAGGAGGGAGATGAGTTGGGAAAACCGGGGGGTGGGGGTGGGGGGTGGGGGTGGGATGGGGTGGGGGGGAAGTCCTGACTACAGAGGCTGCCCCCTAGGGGAGGCTCACACTGGCAGGAAATCACCTAGGAACCTCTCTGGCTGTCTGATCAGGATTTAGGCTGAATTCTTCAAGTGGCTAACCAAGCCTTCAGCTCTGCTCTCCGATGCCCACACAGAGTGAGGCAGCTATTACCGCTCCCCAGGAACCTCAAAATTAATCTGTTCCACCTGGCCTCTCCTGGCTGCCCCCCAGGCAGGCTGACACTAGGTTTGACTTGGTTCAAGCAACTGGTGGGTATGGTTTCATGGCTGGGAAATAAATCGCATCAAATGTGATTGTGTGTTATCATGGAGATGAAAGAGCCATCTGGCCGAACCACGCTTTGCTGTGTATTTCTGGGGTCTCTGGTGACAGCCACGCTCATTTTCAGCCAACTGGGATTGCAGGGACTCCAGGATTGGCTATTCAAATAAGTCTGTAAAAAATACTTTATTTTATTATTGTTTTAAAAATTATACATATGTATGTCCAGGTGCATGTGCACATGAGCGCAGTGCTCAGTGGATGCCAGAAGACGGTGTTGGGTCCTGGAGCCGGAGTTATAGGCAGTTCTGAGAGGCCAGACATGGGTACTGTGAATCAAAATGGGGTCCTTTGAAACAGCACTGCATGCTTTTTTTTTGTTTGTTTGTTTTTGTTTTTTTTGAGACAGGGTTTCTCTGTGTAGCCCTGGCTGTCCTGGAACTCACTCTGTAGACCAGGCTGGCCTCGAACTCAGAAATGTGCCTGCCTCTGCCTCCCAAGTGCTGGGATTAAAGGCGTGCGCCACCACTGCCCAGCTAACTGCATGCTTTTAACCACAGAGAGAGACATCTTTCTATTCCTCTCCTCGATTTTGGAGACAGGGTCTTACTATGTAGCCCTATGTTTGGCTTGGGACTCATTGAGATCCACCTGCCTCTGCCTCCAGAAGGCTGGGAATAAAGGCCTGCATCACTATGCCTGGTTCCCTTTGCTTTCTTTGGAAGAACTGGGTGTGTGGAATATGCACGTAGCACATGCACAGCACGTGATGTGTGTGGAGGCTGGAGGTTGACACTGGGTGTCTTTGTCAATTACTGTTTCCCTTCTCTTTGGAGACAGGATCTATCACTGAGTCTGGTGCTTGGTAATTGGCTGGACTCACTGGTCAGCAGACTTGGGGGCTCCACCGGTCTTTCGCTTGTGACCAGGTCACTGCCTGGCTGTCTTACGTGGGTCTGAACTCAGGTCCATGCAAGCTACAGGTACTTTCCTGAGACATCTCATCAACCCTACTACACCCTTTAAAAAAAGTTTTTTTTTTTTTTTTGGTAAGACAGAGTCTCAAGATATATAGTCCAGGCTGGTCTTGAATTTGTAATCCTCCTGCCTCAGCCTCCTGAGTACTGGGATACCAAGTGTGTGCCACCATGCC